GCAATCCTCTTCGTATCTCCCTTGGCTAGTGTTATATCACGACAAATCCTGGCAATAGCGAAAGATACTACTACTCGCAATGTCTTGGATCGAATCCCTAAGAGCCAAAGGTTGGTAAGACTGACTCAGAGTCTCGGATAAGGAAAGGCCTCACAAGCCCTAAGGGAACTAAGAAAGCAGTAAACTTCACATCTGGAGCCCAAATGAAATCGTCACCATAGTTTCCTTCATTGAAGCTTTCTAAATCGTTACCATTTAAGGATAGCCTCTGGAAAGAAGTATTTTAATGACCATTCTCAACTATTTTTCACCCCACTGGTGAGTCTCGTCACACAACATTGCATCCACGTTTATGAGCTACATTCACCCTATTTCGTTTAAGGTGATGAAGGACTGGTAGCTGATTTTTCCCACAATGCTATGAGTAAAGCTGATGTTTTCCATTGAATTTCACATAGCCTTGCTTTTCTCAAAGATGCTCTCATCCAGGGTGGACTGCAGTTTAGACCTCGCATAGATCTTATCAACACCCCAAACGGGGGTCGAACCATGATAGTGAGGAGTGTAATCTCGACGCATTACCCACTACGCCACATTGCCACGAGTGCCCTTGGTTCACAGGGCAGATGTGAATTTCAAGGAATGTCAGGCATTTTACATAACACATTCTGTGTTTGGATTGTCAATAAATTAAACTTATATTTGCTACAGCAATCGACGACATTACTCTTATCGTAAATGAGTGGGTTTTCGAGACTACCTGTAAATCAGATATTTGATTTCTCATTTTCTACAATGATCCCTTATTTACAGCCCACATCCTGACTCATTAAATACAACTTTCGCCCAATCGCAGCAACAGTCGACTTATCAGATTGACCTATCGAATCAGGCCAGACACCAATTGACAGCTGACGCACGCATCACACGAAGAATTAAGCATTAATAACACTAAATAAGATTTGAAGAAAAACTGAGTTTCGAAGACTTCCTTAATGATATATTGTGATGTGAATTTACGTTTAGAAGGAAAAGTTGCTTGGGAGAAATTCGTATAAAGGTGTCACTGGAATCCGAAGGATTGATTGCCGTGGAGTGAAGACTATTGGATTGTCGGTCCACCGTCATGTGACACCATTGAACCTGTGGCAATCTTTATCTGTATTGTAACAGCAGTTTTCACTACGTGACAATCCTCCTTCGATTTCCGGTGAAACCAATTAACAAATTCCTTCCAACAAACATATTCTTCGAAATGGTAATTTATGTTACAATATAACACTATATCAGATAGTCTTTATGAATAAGCTTCGACACTAGCCGAAAAACTTGACAGAAACCCATTAAACTATATAGAACTGGGAATTATATTTGCCCACAATAAAATGGATAGACTTCGCGGCCTATCGAATCAGGCCAGACACCAATCGGCAGCTGACGCACGCATCACACAAAGAATTAAACATTTATAACACTAAATAAGATTTTAAGAAAAACTGGGTTTCGAAGACTTATTTAGTGATATATTGTGATGTACCCTTTTGGTGTCAAATGAGGCCAATTTACGAAACGAAATGAAAGATGCGCTAAGAGAGTCCTATCAAGAGATTCTTTGGGATCCATCTTCTCTTCATACCCTTCTCATTACATTGGTTTATCTCGTTACATGACATCGCATCGAACTCCCGATACTTTCTTAGTTCACACAACATTCATTTACGAACACTTCTTATCATGACTCAGGAATGACGAGTGTCAATCAATCACTACAACGGTCTGCCTACCTGACTGACCTGTCAGATAAAGCCAGCCCATCAACCAGGCACCAATCAGAAACTGACACACATCGCCAAATGAAATAGGCATTAAAAGTCCGTATGTATGAAGAAAGTCTGGGCTTCAGGAAATCCCTTAGAGGGATATTGTGACTCGACTTTCCATTTCGAAGGAAAAGTTGGTTGGATAAAACTCGCGGATTGGTCTCACCAGAAACCGAGGGAGGAATGAAAGCTGTTGGATTGTGCAAAGAAGATTTAGCCAAGGACTTCTTCGCACAATCCAACAGACTTCAATCCACGGCAATTAAGCCTCGTTGGGTTTCGGGTGGCATCCATTCACGAATTCCTTCCCACCAACTTTTTCGTAAAAATGGAAAGTCGAGTCACATTAAGAACTACAAACTAACGTGACTTTCACCATGGCATCATCTAACGCTTGCCAAACGCGTCTTCATGCATACTCGCCGACTATGCGCCGCCCTCACTTGTACATGCTACTGGTGATACGGTCTCGTGCTCCTGTTAAGTCGGATGACAGTACAATGTATCACATATAAGGTTGCGAGGGTGGAGTTCAGTCCAGATAGTTGAGATGAGATAAGCGGTACCATCTTGTAATACGAACTATGCACATTGTTTGCCCATAAGAATGCAGGTGGGTGTGGGTTTCTTTAATAATGGCTGTACCCACACTGGATCGCATAAGGGGATGAAGGACTGATAGATGAATTTTTCCGCAATCATATAAGTAGGCCTTCCGTTGTAATTGATTTTCATACAGCCTTGCTTCCCAAAAGGTATTCGAGGCTATGTGAAATTCATCGAAAGCAGCAAATGGATAGGCTGGTTGGCATAACATGCGGTTTTCAAGAAGCCGACGCTCGCATCCCGTTTCCGCAAGGTCATCCCTGAAGGATCTAGAATCCTCATATGGGAATGCCAAAGTAATCTGCTCATGCAGCATTCCATTGCCTTACTTAGATGCATATTTTGCCAACTGTTAAGAGGGTGTGCAAAAAGTTGCTGTCATGGAAAACCGGTGCTGGCTTACCTAGCATCATGGTTTCCGGGCAAAGAGCCATTTTCTTTGAAATCTTCAAGTTGAACTCCAGAATCTCTTCCATCGGGAAATTACTCTGATCCTCGCGCAGGGGATTGATCAAACTCAAACCCACTTTAAACCAGCCCATGTAGATCAGAAATTTGATGATGCTGGCTACAGGCACGAATGAGTCGAAATATTCCAGATTCTGGAGGATCAACGAAGCGCCGTCGTTCTGCTCGAGGTCAGGCGTAATAAACTGGTGCTTGAATATCTCACAGATGTAGAAGGAGTAGACCATAATGATAATTGCCTGTGAAACCAAGGGGACAGAAAGATTGAGTCAGTGATATCGGCAATGTCACAGAGGGTACATGCCTAGGTCTCGAGAGTCAGATACACACAAGACAAGCCTCCTAGTACTGCAAGGATTATTCACCAGACTAACTGGGCTCAATGCAGCTCACCGATCCCATATCCAAAATGGATCAAGTCTGTAGATTGTGTGATATGCTAGGCATTAAAAGATTGCAGAGCTCGACCATGTTACTATTAAGGATAACCTGGTATGATGCAGATATTAAAATCAATGTATGCAAAGATAAATTGGGTTCCGAAAAGTTCCTCACTGATTTGTTGTGACAACCTTCATTTCGAAGCAAGGCTTGGATGATAGGAATTAGTGACTTGATCTCACCAGATTGTGCGAACTAGTCCTCAGCTTACCATATTGCGACTCTGAAGTTAAGCTTTCTTCTGTCCTGTGATAGATATTGTGAGAACGAGAAGTCATACTTTACGAAAAAAACTCACAATAAGCCTTATTTTCTTGTAAATATGAAGACAAAGGTGGTGTTGGCTACTGTTTGCTCGCAGTCTCCTCTAGCTTTATAGTGTTGGTTCGATCTTGTTTTCACAACTTGGCCGGAGGGTCAGGGAGACCTTGTGGAACGTACCCGGTCCTGTGTCCTCTGCCATAGTATTCGTGATGTCCAGCATCGGACCATTAACTTGGTACATTAACAAACGTTTCGCCGTAATCGTCATTCAAAGGCGCCATCATAAGCATAGAGTTACAACTTATCAAATTGACGATTTCTAGAGAGACGAGAGGTGATGCAACAACGGCTGAACAGAAAATTGGTCACTGGGATTGCCTTCACTTGTCACTTTGATAAATTGTAACTGTGCTTACGATGGCGCCTCTCAATGACGATGTCGGCGAGTGGTTCGATGTTGGACATCACGAATATTATGGCAGAGGACACAGGACTAGGTACATTCTCCAAGGTCTCC